TTTTACTTGACCTATTTTTCAGTTATGAATCTATTTTTTATCTTACCACATTCATTGCCATTTTCTATGTAGATTAGAGTTGCAAAGTCTAGCAAGTAATTTCGAAAAAAAAAAAAAAATGTACATTTTCTCTTGGAGATAATTTCATTGCGCTAAGAATTGTTTGAGAATAAGGAACTCCTTTTTTCAACATAAAAGTAAGAAAAATTGACTTGTTTAGAAGCAAAAAGTTACGGAAAAATAACTTGCTCATATTTAAGCTCAGCCAAACATGATGATCTATAGATTTACGCTTCCGTCCTTAGTTTGATGTTTCAAGCGTCATCTCATGCTGTACTTCTGTCTATGTTACATTATTCCCAGATGAGCTCAACTGATGACATTGTCAAGGACTCGACATATGATTCATCGTCTGGTTGTTTCAGAATACCTGCTAGGACAACATCTGTTTTCGTTGAACCTCGAGAAGCCTGAGAACATTTAGTCGATCAAACTTATAAATATTTGTACTTTTACTATAATACACAATAAAATCGAAGGAAAAAAAGGGAAGATCTAGGTGCCAATCATATAAATGATGAAGCTTATAACTGATTCATTATGCTGCGTATGTGTAATATTTTCCTGTTAATAAAAATTTGAGTTTTTGTTCATCGTATGAAGTTCCATCTTTACTTAAATACCCGTGAAAGCAGGGAGGGGTCCATTCTCCCACAAATTCATGATTCATAATGTTCCATGAAATTGCACTGTATATCAGAAAATGATTTCTCACTAGGTTATATTTGATGTGCGGTATTCATGTCATGGCATCATTAGAAATGTCGAACTTGGACTCTTTAGGATACAATATATGGTTGAGAGGCTCGTACGTATATGAACTAAGGCACTAAGCCCCTGTTTCGTGTAGATTTTGATTTTAAAAAAAAAATTATGAGTTTCATGTGTATTTATAATTAGTTATTGAATTTGACTTGAAATTTTAATTCAAACCAGACGGGCGTTAAATTACGAGAGCTTGTACAAGTTATAACAAAAACCATCAAAGCATTTGAACAGTATAGATCAATTTAATTGGCACAATACTCGTCCACAACCAATCAACAGATATCAAGTGGTATTCTCTAAACGTTTACCATCATTTCAATAGACTCTTCCAAAAATGCCATTAAAAAATTGTCGTTTTATATTGTTTGGGTTGAACCATTTTCTCACACTCTGATTTCTGTATTTTGAGTCTTTACTTCCATATGCTTCAACTCACAAAATTGTTGATCTAAAATTTCTAATGAGAGATATTTTTCCTTAGATCATATGCGAAAAATACATAATTATCTTGTAATTTCAGTAATAGATTTTATATTGTTCGCAATATTATAATGATGTAACAAGCGTATATACATACACGCATGAGAGAGAGAGAGAGAGAGAGAGAGAGAGAGAGAGAGAGAGAGAGAGAGAGAGAGAGAGATGAAGAATTATTCTACTTGTACATTCTTTGTGTACATCATGGTTGATATTGTGTGAAATGTGAAAGTTGAGATCATTAATTGTTTTAAGTATTATTAGAATGGTAATATGAAATAGAAATACTTTTAACCTTCGTATATATCAAATTCCTCTTAGATAAGTATCCAGAGCATAGGATCATGCAACATATTCTTATTTCCAGTCAAAAAATTTCTTCGAAGTATATGAAGGATAGTCACCAGAAAAATAGATACCATCACTCTTTGCTTCCCAGTAGCAATTAGAATGGCTCATTTCGGCGCAATTTGATGGAAAAAACATCGAAACTTATCTACTTTGAACCCCCACCAAAGGTGACAAAAGATTAACATTGAACCAAACGAACTCTCTCAAAATGCCTATGAAAATCGCCATTTAATGCAATTTTATAATGTCCAAGATCATCATCTCCAAGAGCACAATGCACCAACAAGGGTTTAGATTTTGGAGGGAGTTTGTTCACTACATGGACTGTATATTCCTTGACAATGTGACAAGAATGTGTGTAGAATTTTAGATGATAGAATGAGACATAATACTAGGTTTTTATGTTCGTACAAATCATGACTATTGCTAAAAAGAATTAGATATAGAGAACGATGCTATACGTATCGAATTTTTTTTACCAAAGGGATGGGAACCACAGGCCGTTATTTTTAAATTCACGCAGGACCCACCATACATTGTGAGAGGGGAGACACCATTCTGTAACACCCCCCCCCCCCCCCCGGCGCGGGTACATATATATTTATCCTTATATATAATGTGATTCTTCAAGGTGATGATAGCTTTCTTTCATCTTTGTAGCCTTTTTAATAAAATTGAAGATATTAAATGCAATTTGACCGTCAATTAATGAATTGTTAATTTTATTTAATGGTTGCCTACATTAATCCCATCTTATTTCATTCAAGTCACAATCCTACACTTTATTTTTTACATTTTATTTTACAGTCAAACGTAGTTATTACATTAATATGTCATCACGAACAAATGTGGTGAAATGGATTACAACATTAATAATAAAACTTGAAGTCTTTATAATACGGGGTTTAATCAGGGGCCAATGGTAGTACAGTAAAATCTCAATATATGAATGTTCCATAAATTAATAAATTCACTTAAATAATGAAGTTTTTCAGTCCTAAGTCCACCTAGTTGATTAAATTAATATTCTCATTAAATGTATAAGATAATAATTTTATTTAAAATCTTTTAAGGCCAACGAAAAAAAAGGTAATAATTGATTAAATATTTAAAAGTTTATATTTTGTATTAAAGAAACTTTTTTACTTAATATCTTTTATTTTTTTTCAATTCAGACTTTTCTCAAATTATGCGTCTAATGACTTCGCTTTTTCTTTGTATTCAAATTGAACTTAACCATATACATAATTTTTTTGTTTTGCATATATCGCAGTTGATATAATTTTTTGGATGATTGGTGCAAAACATCATCATCGGTTGTCTGTATTGCAAAAATTGTCCATAACATTTCACTTTTAATATTTTGACCTTCAGATTGACCATTCATTGCACCAATCACCCCTTACCGTCTCATTCCATTCATTTACTCTGCCAAATGGTTGCCCGCAATCAACTCGTGTGACTTTCTCAAACGTAATTAGACAGGATACTAATTGATGATTTTTTTCCCCTAAAAATTAGGGGATTGACATGTGAAATTCGAGATTTGCAGTTCAACACAAATCTCAAGTTATAGGTGACATCATGACTTTGTCCTAATGAGCAAGCAGGTCAACTCTTGAGTGTACTATGCAAAAGTCAAGTATGTTCTTGAGTTTACTTTGCAAAAGTCCGAGATTCTAGGCAAATACCGAGTTTGCTGAATCCATAAATTCAAATGTACAGTTTCGATCCATAACTCTGAAATGTATTCTTTTTTTTCCTGTGAAGATTTGCATAACAAAATTTGAGCATTAATTTTCTCACATGCTCTGCATTACAAAATGAAGAATCTATGTGCAGAGCAGGTTAAGAAATTAGTGCACAACCTTTTTTACATATATATATATATATATAGATACCATTTTAAAAACAGTTGAACTTAGGGTTCAACATAAAAAATCAGAGAGCATTTCGAGAGTTGTGGATCAAAAATTATGAGTATTTGAAGTGAGAAAATCGAGTAAACTTGAAATTAGGAAAAGAATAGCAATTAGTGTCTTGGACAATTACGAGTGGACTACACGAGACCATTTGATGCAGCAAATGGATAAAATTAGACAATAGGAATGATTTGAGCAAAGAGTGGTCAAACTCGGGATCAAGATATCAAAAGTGAAATAATAGAGATAATTTATATAATGAAAACAAACGAAAGGAATATTTTGTACTAGTTACCCTAACTTTTCTAAGTATTTACAGTTACGATAGCTTGAAAGGTTTCTTTTGAAGAAATAGTTAATAGAAACACGACTATAATATGAAATCATGACTAGCAAGCGATTCCATCATCATATTAATTTACAAAATGTTACTAAAATATTAAGCACAAAGTCAACAATTAATTTTAACAAAACATTTTATGAGACCCGTCAACTTTTATCAGTTTTTTAATATCATATTTCATCAACTTTTATCAAAAGATTTGTCAAATTGACCTCTAAAAATGTAAATGAATTTCTAAAATTCTGTGCCGAACAAGTCTATAATATAAAGGTTCAAATTTATGTTTCAATTGTTTTTATTCTCCGGGAGCACAACTTTCCTTTTAGTTTGTTATTAATCTCACATTGAGTCATACTTGATGGTAGAATTTCATGATATTGCTATATTTTGATTTGATTTATTTTTTGTAGATTATTTATTTCTCTTTATAGTTTGATTATTTGCATAAAAGTCGTAACAATATATGTATTTGCTATACTTTAATTTATAAGTTCATTTATTGTTTTGCATAATATCAATTTAACTTGGATGTATGAAACTCATATATTTTTGGATTATGCTACTTCAATATAATGGACACCATAATGGTGTCCATAATGCCCAAGTGGCGCGGCCCCAAGGGGCGTCGATGGGCCAAGCGCCCCCTCCAATAGGGGGCGCCACTTGGGCATTATGGTGTTCATTATGTACCCCAAGTATGGTCTTATATTTTTTACTTATTTCCTCGACAGCAAATTGACCTAATATCATTTACTTAAGTTCGCCCTGTTTGATCTCCAATATTTTTCATTACATTAAATTAAATTTTTCTCTCTCTTACTTTTAACCATCCAATTTTCAATAAAATAATATTACACGTAAATAAAAAACTTTTCAATCACTCATTTTTCAAAAAAAAAAGAAAAACACTATTAATCTCATTATAATCTACAAATGCTGAGGCTCAAACGCCCCGAAATATCACGGCATCGAGCCAGCAAGTATATCCCAATTACCAAATTGTATAACAAGAAGAAGAATTAACTCTTTAACAATAAAGTTAACTTTAGTAACAATAAATGTACTTGGGAGGATGAAATTGTAACAACGTTAAGAAATCAATTGAAGAATCACATTTACAGAGATATTTAAAGAAAAGAAAAAAAATTATGTTAATAGATCAATGTATAAAGAAAGAAGAAGTGGAACCTCTCAATAATGACAGTTAACCAATGCTGGGGGTGTAGAAAAATCAAATTCAGCTCCTTTTTGTTGTTTTTGTTGTTTATGTTCATCTTCTGGGGCCGGAAGATTAAGATCCAAAGACAGAGAATTTCTCGTCGTCTTCTTCGATTCCTCGGATTCTTGATTGTAATAATCAAATGAAGCTTGGCTGATAGGAGTACTCAAAGACAAGGTCGTGTTGGCTGCAGCAATTGGAGGGCCACCGCCCCTGTGCCTCCGCATGTGGCCTCCGAGTGCCTGCCCGGAGGTGAACTCAGCCCCACAATAAGAGCATTCGTGAACCTTAAAAGAATGAAAAGACGAATTCTTCTTCTTGTTAACAGGTTGAAGAGAAGGAAGAGGAGACATTTTGGTGCCATTGTCATGTAAAGTGAATGAAAAATCATCTTCAGAATCGGAGTAAAAAAATGCTCTTTTGGCATTGTTTTTAGGTTTCTTATGGCTGGCCCTGTGGCCACCGAGTGCTTGAAAAGAAGGAAATGTCCGGCTGCAAGTTTTGCATTCATATACAAAAATCCCTGCCTTGTTTCCACTAGTTGACGATGTTTCTATATATCTTTTGCTGTTGAATTTATAATCTTGATCTTGATCATGATCATGATCAATCTTGTATTTTGGTGGAGAACGATGACCTTGAGCCAAGAGGATTAAGCATTTGGCAGTTTCTTCATCTTCCGACGTAATGTTTATGCTCTCCGGGTCGGGTGACAAGTCGGAGCCGGGATTACTGTGGTGGAGAATGGTGTCACAATGCCCGTCTCCGCCGCTTCTTATGATGGAAGGAATGGGAGAATGAGGCCTCTGTCTCTTGGTACGCACGCCCTTGACGATGTGGGTGAGGTCATTACAAGGACCTGCAGCCACGTCCGCCGGAGCC